GCAGTGTTCCAATATCTAAGGGGTTGCCCCAAAGAAGAGGGGGCCAACCTATTCTCCTAAGCACCTGAAGGCAGGACAAGAAGCAATGGATGGAAACAAATCAAGGAGAGAAGCAACTTAGAGCTAAGGAGAAATTTCCTGACAGCTATAAGAATTAATCAGTGGAACGAAAAACCTGGAGATTTTTAAGAGGAGATTGGACAACCATTTGTCTGAAATGGTATGGGACAGAGGTCTTCAAACTTGGCAGCTTTAAGACTTGTAGACCTCAACTCCCAGGTCCACAAGTCTTACAGCTGCCAGGTTTGGGAACTTCTGGTATAGGGGCTCCTGCGTGATCAGGGGGTTGGACTAGAAGATCTCCCAGGTCCCTTCCAACTCTGTTATTCTTTTCAATTGGCTCTGAGAATCTCAGGGAGGCAGTGATAATTAAAAAAAAAAATCAGGTGGAAGCAGTGCCATAATATAATAGTCCAATTATTATATATCCATTGGTGTTTGTTTGCAAAATTGATTTTAAATTATGCATTTAGAGAAGTCTTAGGGTGAGCATATGTGGTAACGTAATTCATATTTCTGATTAAGTCCAGATCACTTGGAATAATTCCTCGTTAATAATTTTTCCTTAGCATCAGGGATGAAATCCAGCAGGTTCTTACAGGTTCTGGAGAACTGATAGTGAAAATTTTGAGTAGTTCGGAGAACCGGCAAATACCACGTCTGGCTGGCCCCAGAGTGGGGTGGGAATGGAGATTTTGCAATATCCTTCCCCCAGGAGTGGGGTGGGAATGGAGATTTTGCAGTATCCTTCCCCTGTAACGCCCACCAAGCCACGCCCACAGAACCGGTAGTAAAAAAATTTGGATTTCACCACTGCTTAGCATCCTTAAGCACATATATCCATCTCTGTTCTCATTCTTAGGAAGATTCTAAAGGGGACTTTTCCCGCTGGAGAATTAGCACACATGTATGAGCCTGGCGTGGAGTTCAAATTCACAATAGGGATCATTCAGGTTTAAATGAAAAGTTTGTAATTTCTGAGTTGTTTTTTTTTGTGTGTGTGAGTGTGGAATTAGGTAAATGAAGAGTTAAAGAGAAAAAAAAAAGTTAACAGCATATTAGGATAATCCCAAATACCAATAACATAATCATATAACTGCCCAGAGTCATCTTATCAGTGAGATGGGAGGCACAGGAATTTAATAAGTAAAAATAATTGCTTTTATAGAAATTAAATTGTATGCCTGCATTTGGAATACAGGTAGTCCTTCACTTACAACATTAAGGGAGACCAAAATTTCTGTTGTAAGTCATGATGGTTATTAAGTAGGGGCACCTACATGATTAATCCGATTTTATGAGCTTTTTTTTTTTTTTGCAGTGGTCATTAAGCAAACATTACGGTTGTAAAGCAGGCTGGAATTGTGAATTAAATCAACGCATTCTTATTTTTGCTTTTTGCCAGAAAATGGCCAAAAATGCTGACTCACTTTTTGTGTGTGTGTGTGTGTGTGTGTGTCTGTTGGACTCCAGAACCAGCTCACACCATTGAGGATCTGTCATAATTTCAAATGGTCGCTAAGTGACAAGTCGTTAAGTGAGGACTACGTATTCTGGTCACTGCAACTCCAAAGGGTTAAAAGTGGAGCTAAGAGGTTGGAACAGTTTCTGCAGGAGGAAAAGTTATGACATTGGGGCCTTTTATTCTGGAAAGAAGGCAGGCGAAAGGGGACATGCTGTAAGCGCCCAAAATTATGCATCTTATAAATAAAGTGGAAAGGGAGACGCAATTTTCTTTTCACCAAAATATTACGATCAAAGGTAGGCTAATGAAATGGAATGCTGGAAGAATCAGGACGAACGAAAATATATTTTTATATAACATATTTTTTTAAAAAAAACTTCTTGGAATTCACTATCACGAGCTACAGGAAGTCCTCGACTTACGAACACAACTGAGCCCAAAATTTCTGTTGCCGAGCAAGACAAAATCAGTTTTGTCCCATTCTACGACCTTCCTTGTCACAATTATTAAATGAATCACTGCCATTGTTAAGGTAGTAACACGATTGTGGCTTCCCCATTGACCTCTGCTAGTCAGAAGGTCGTGAAAGGGATCCCTGCAACCGTCATAAATACGACCCACCTGCCAAGCATCTGTATTTTGGTCATATGACCACGGGGAGGCTACAACGATCGTGTGAGAAACGATCACTTTTTTCAGTGCTGTTGTAACTTCGGTCACTAAACAAACAGTTGTAAGGCAAGGACTATCTGTAACGTGCTTGTTTATTTCCAGCCAGGGGTGAAATTCAGCCGGTTCCTACCGGATCGCGCGGTATGGTAGGGCCAACTGCGCGAAGCCCTGCCTAACCGTGTGATGTCACGACATCCCTTTTTTGCGATGATTTTCAGCCTCTGCGGATGCGCAGAAGGCTTTGTGCGTGCGTGGATGGGTCACTAGGCAGGAGCCTGGTGGCGCAGTGGACTAAGTGCTGTTAAAATAGCACTTAGTTGCCAGCTGCCTGCAATTACTGCAAATTCAAATCTCACCAGGCTCAAGGTTGACTCAGCCTTCCATCCTTTCAAGGTAGGTAAAATGAGGACCCGGATTGTGGGGGCAATAAGCTGACTTTGTATAAAGTAGAACACCGCTTGGGGGTGGGGGCCAAAAGCCCTACTGAGCAGGTATATACAAAAGTATGCAGGCTATTGCTTAATGCATTGTAAGCCGCCCTGAGTCTCCGGAGAAGGGCAGCATATAAATCGAACAAACAAACAAACAAACAAATGCGCGGCATGTGCACATTTGTGAACCGGTAGGAAAGATAAGTGAATTTCACCCGTTTCCAGCCTTTGGCGTTCATATTTTGCAAAATACCAGGATGCGTTTCCAGATCCTGCAATCAAGGCTTGACAGTGTGAAATAATACACAATCGTTTCCCTCAATCCTAGGTAGCGGCTGATATCTCTCTCTCCGCAGACGCAAAGAAAAAAATATCTGCTGCGAACTCCACATGGTGTCAGGAAGGGCATCCGGCCAGTAAACGTTCAGCTCCATCCAGTCACCACGATTCTACCCTGAATTATTTAAGGGATGAGAGTTGTAAAAGAGGAGTTTCCCATAAGGACAAGCTGCTTTACTCTCTTTTTTCTCACTAACTTTGAAATGAGAGAAAAGGATTCCAGAATTGATCGGCATTCGATTTTTAAAAACTGAGCACGGAAGGTTCAGCCGAACAATTATTATGTTTTGCTTGGTTTATTGCTAAACTCATTTCGTCCGACGGAAAAACTGCCATCATTTATGTAATTCTTCCTTCCTGGAAGGAATAACTAATTCTGTCTTATTCTGTCCAAATTCACCATCAGCCCAAAGACTCCAGTGTGATAAATGTTAAATTTCACACCAGAACACTATCCCCCCACCCACAAAAATTCTGTACGAATAGTTGAATTACAATCGTAACCGAGCTGGCAATTTCGGTTGTAAATTGTGACGCCTGCAAAGTAGGTCATCCCATCACTGAATTTGTGGTCTTTTTGGGGTTTTTTTTATGGCGGCTGCCGGCATTAACCAGATCTCATGCTTGCTACGGAAACTAGAAAAAATGTTGTAAATTGTAGTCATGTGGCTTTCAGGACTGGGTCATAAATCCTCCTTTTTTTAGGGTCCATTGTAACTTTGAACAGTCGCTAAGTGACCAATCATAAGTCGAGGACCATCTGTATTCGGCCATAAATACGTCTCCCACATATACAGCAGTGATGAGTTGCTCCTGGTTATGTCCGGTTCTTTAGAACTGGTAGTAAAAGCGGCGGGAAGCTCCGTCCACCAGCCCGGATGTCATAATTGACGATCTGTGCATGCACAGAAGCGCGCGCTCTCCCATTGCGAACCGGTAAGTAAAGGTAAGAAGAACCCACCCCTGATATACAGGTAGTCCTCAACTTACTACAGTTCATTTAGTGACCGTTCAAAATTACAACTGCGCTGAAAAAAGTTGACATACGACCATTTTTCACAGTTACGACCTTTGCAGCGTCCTTATAATTGTGGGATCAAAACTCAAGACACTTGGCAACTGGTTCGTTTTTATGACGGTCGCAAGCGTCCCAGGGACATGTGATCAATTTTTGCGACCTTTCCATGGGGAAGCCAGATTCGCTTTACAACCGGGTTACTAAATTATCAGCTGCGGTGATTCACCTAACCACTGAGGTAAGAAAGGTTGTAAAATGGGGCGAAACTCAACAAATGTCTCACTTAACAACAGAAGCATTGGGCTCAATTGTGGTCATAAGCCGAGGACTGCCTGTAGTAGGAAGCACCCTCTTCCTGCCCCACTACCACCATAAAACTAATTTTTACATTTCTGGGATACAAAATAGAAACTGACAATTCAGGCACTTGGAAATGAACAGCGGCATCTGCAAAGCTGAAATTCAAGAATGCCTTCAGTTTGTCTAGAAAAAAGGATGGTGGCCTCTTTTTTAATCAAAGCTGTGCAAGAACGAAGGAAGATTAACCCACACCAGACACATAATATTGCAATAGAGAGCCAACTCTCTTAGCTATTTTGTTTGTCTGGACTGGCGAAAGGAATTCCAGTAGCAGGTAAGATTATCATCCTGGCACACAAACGCACAGAGAGATTTCTACACATTACTGAAGTTGAGATTGACGCACTGTTTACTAATAAATACCTAATACACTAATTTACACACACACACACACACAAAGAGAGAATTCGGGACGACGCACGTTCCTGCATCGTCAACAGCATCCTGTTCTTAATTTTCCCCCCCAAAGTTAAGTCCACCCCATCAACTTGCAAGAAACCCAACTCATTATCAGCCACATCTTGGATGGGGAAAACAAACAAACAAACAAAAAGATTGATATAGGAAATATAACTTGGGTGGGGAGGATGCAGAGATGAAGCTTTGAAGTCTCCAAATGAGGGAGAACATTTGGGGAGGGTCTCAGACTACTCACGAGTGGTGTTGTACTTGACTCCGTTGACAAACTCGGGGCAAGGTCTCTCCACCAGATCCCCGGCGCTGCTCCGTGGCCAGCAGGTCCCAATCTGGTCCATGGTGGCCCGGCAGGAAGGACCTTAACGCCCCGTAAAGGAGGAGGAGAAGCAAAGGAAGGAAAAGAAAGAAAAAAAAAAAGAGAGAGAAAGGAAATAAATTCATTCCAGCTTCCGGGCGTACAAAGCCAAAGTGAAATTCTCCACATCACCACCTCCTCGCCCCTATCCCGTGCCTCCTCTTCCACCCTACCCTCAAAGCTCTCCTGCAGGGCATCCAAGAGGCTGCAGTTGGCATCCCAATCCTCAATGAAAAAGTGGAGGAAGGTGGTTCTGTTCATGGCGGGAATCCTGACTTTCCCCAGGTGTGGTCCTGCTTCTTGTCCTCCTGCCTTTATAGGTTCGGTATTAAAGCCAAGCTGCTTCTCCAGGTTTCTGGGGGTGCATCTCTCTCTCTCTCTCTGTTTCTCCCTCCCTCTCTCCCCCCCACCCCCCCGCTGCTCAGCGCTTCTGAGTCTTAGAGGGCGGGCAGGCAGGCGTGTTGGATGGTGGGGAAGCTTCCTTGCTCCTTCTTAAACCAGCAGGAGGGGAACCAATAACATGGCAGGAACTCCCAGCAAGGGGCTTTCGGGCCCCACCCGCAGAGCCTTGCCTCCCTCCCTCCCCCCCCTCTTCACCCGTCTTCAGCAGCCCCAGAAGCTGGCAATTGGCTGAGAGGGCTAATCTACTTCTCCCTCTTTGGTGGGGAATAAGGAGGGGGGGGAGTCCCACGTGTGTGTGTGTGTGTGTGTGTGTGTGTGTGTGTGTGTGTGTGTCTGTCGTACACTCAGCATTCTCACTGCTTTGATGGTTCCTTTTTCCAGCAGGGAGTCCTGAAGGCAAGGTGGGGGAGAGGAGGGGGGAATCTGGCTGAGAGGGAGACGGAAGGGAAAGGGGTCTTCCTTTTTTAGGCAGCTGGGTCAGTTTGGGGGGGGGGGGGGAACCAGGGAAGGAATCTGGAGGAAGGAAGCATGTTTTTTGCACATGCTCCATCATGCTCTACTACACAAGGACAAATTCCTTATGTGTCCAATCCACACTTGGCCAATAAAGAATTCTATTCTATTCTATTCTATTCTATTCTATTCTATTCTATTCTATTCTATTCTATTCTATTCTATTCTATTCCTCTATTCTATTCTATTCTATTCTATTCTATTCTATTCTATTCTATTTCCTATCCTATCCTATCCTATCCTATCCTATCCTATCCTATCCTATCCTATCCTATCCTACTCTATTCTATTCTACTCTACTCTATTTTCTATTCTACTCTACTCTTTTTTTTTTATTTATATGCCTCCCTTCTCCGGAGACTCAGGGCGGCTTACAATGCGTTAAGCAATAGCCTTCATACTTTTGTATATTTTATACAAAGTCAGCTTATTGCCCCCACAATCTGGGTCCTCATATTACCTACCTTAGAAAGGATGGAAGGCTGAGTCAAGGTGAGTCAAGCTTGAGCCTGGTGAGAATTGAAGTCGCAGTAATTGCAGGCAGCTGGAAGCTAAATACTACTTTTAACAGTAGCATTAGTCTGCTGCGCCACTCAGACTCTACTCTACTCTACTCTACTCTACTCTACTTTACTCTGCTCTACTCTACTCTACTCTACTCTACTCTACTCTACATTCTATTCTATTCTATTCTATTCTATTCTCTGCTCCTTCTATTTCTACAAGCCAATTCTATTCTTCTGCTCTATTCTATTCTGTTCTGTTCTACTTTGGGGAAACTGAGGCTGAAGAGTTACAGGTTATGTTGTACCCAGTGGTGGAAGAGGCACCCCTTGTCTTTGAAGCTTAGCCTAGCCTACCTCACAGGGTTGTTGTAGGGGGAAGAGAAGGAGTGCTGTTTTGTTGTTTCGAGAGGGAAAGCAGCACAGGAATTCGACTAACAGATAATGCACAAGGAGAAAGAATCCACCTCATTATTTCTCAGCCTGAACAACTTTGAATTCTGGGAGTTGAAGTCCATATATTTCCTGGGGAATTCTGGGAGTTCGTATCTATGCATGCGAGCTGGGAAATTCCGGGAAGCTGAAATTCATGCAAGCTGGCTGGGGAATTCTGGGAGTTGAAGTCCACACATCTTAAAAGTTGCTGATACACTGATCTAGGGTAGCTGCCCCAAGAATGGACATCTTTACTCAAAGTTGTTAATCTGGTGGACAGCCTGAGATTCAAGGCCACTGGTGTCCACTTAAATTTCGCCAACAATTTACCTTTTATTAAATATATTTGCTCCCTATCTCATTTTTAAAATTCTCCCTCTAACCTAAAACTTTGTGGCCTCCCAACCAGATCTATCCCTTAGTTCTGATCTCAGAAAAGATTGGCCACCCTTCTAAAATGATACAGGTTGTGTTTAACTTAATTACATTATTATTGAAAAGGAATGGCAGGCATTTTAATAATTTGTTTCAGATCCATAGATTTTTGGGAGGCCAAGTGGGCCTTGGTGTGAAGTGCTCACCTTGCCTTAGAGAGTTAACACAATTTCCCCAGGGCTGAATTTGTTCCCCCCCTTTTTTTATGATGCTTAAATTTAAAAACTTAAATTTAAGTTTTGGTCGCCATAATATAAAAAAGATGTTGAGGCTCTAGATCAGTGATGGTTAACCTATTTATTCTTTATTTTATTTTATTTTATTTTATTTATTATTTTATTTTATTTTATTTTATTTTATTTTATTATTTTATTTTATTTTATTTTATTTGTATGCCGCCCTATCTCCATAGGATTCAGGGCGGCTCATAACAATTAAAATCAAACCAGATAAAAACATATTAAAATACAAATTAAACGTATGTTAAAACTCATTAAAATAATCAAACCCCATGAGTCCAGGCTGGGGGATTTAAACAGCTGTGTCCTTAGTTTGCGGCGGAAAGTGCGAAGGTCAGGGGCCAACCGGAGCCCCAGGGGAAGTTGATTCCAAAGGGTGGGCACGTCCACAGAGAAAGCTCTATCTCTGGGGGCCGCCAGCCGACATTGTCTAGCCGATGGCACCCTGAGTAGGCCCTCCCTTTTGCCGTCGGGTGCCAAAGGTGGGGGGAGCACGGGGGGTTGCGTGCCCACGTGCCCGCACTCAATGCTCCCTGCGCCCCTCCCCCCACACATGCGTGCGCGACCCCCTGTGCTCCCCCCGCTTTTGGCAGGCAATGGCACAGTGGGCCCGGTAGGCCCATTTTCGCCCTCCCCAGGCTCCAGAGGCTTTCTTGGAGCTTGGGGAGGGCGAAAACGGCCTTTCTCACTGCCCCGGAGGCCCTCTGGAGGTCAGAAATGGCTCATTTCCCGACTTCTGGTGGGCCTAGAGGGCCTGAAAATCAGCTGGCCGGCGGGCGCATGCACGCTGGAGCTGAGCTAGGGCAATGCTCACGTGCCCACAGATATGGCTCCACGTGCCATCTGTGGCACGCGTGCCATAGGTTCGCCATCATGGCTCTAGATAGAAAGAGTGCAGAGAGGAGCAACAAAGAGGATTAGGGGACACCTATGAAGAACGGTTGCTGGAATTGGGTATGTCTAGTTTAAAGAAATGGAAGATTAGGGATGATATAATAGCAGTGTTCCAATATCTCAGGGGCTGCCCCAAAGAAGAGGGAGTCAAGCTATTCTCCAAAGCCCCTGAGGGCAGGACAAGAAGCAATGGGTGGAAACTAATCACGGAGAGAAGCAACCTGGAACTAAGGAGAAATTTCCTGTCAGTAGGAAAAATTAATCAGTGGAAATGCTCCAACACTGGAGGTTTTTAAGATTAGCCATTTGAACTGGGATAGTACAGACAGAGTTTCCTGCTTGAACTGGGGAATGGGAACGAAGGCAAAGTCCTTTCTAAGTCTGTTTTTCCTCTTAAATTCTCTTGGATTCAAGACACAATTTGGAAGTGGGATTTTTTTAAAACTGAAAATTTCTGCCCTCTGGGTTTTTCGCAGTGCAACTGCAGCAAGAAAGCTAAAAAGCAGGGAAGGAAGAAAGGACCAGGGGACGAGGGTTTTAGCTCTTGGTCACAGATCCTTTTCTACGAATTTATTCTTCTCAATAAAATTCACGCATTATTCTTCTCTACCTGGTTGCATTTTCTTACACGCTCAACAATGCAGGACAGTAAAGGAAGCATCAGCATATTGGGGAAAAGCGTCGGAAGAAGAAAAATCTTCTCTTGTTTGAACTCTGATTCCAACTCACATAGTCCTCGACTTACGACCAATCATTTATCGACTGTTTGGAGTTACTATGGCTTCAGAAGGGTGCTTTTTATGGCTCGTAAAACATTTTTTACTGTCATAAAATGGCATTTCCTCTCTCCCCCCCCCCTCTCTGCAGTCACACAACCACATTTTTCGTTTATGATTAGTTGCAACATCCTGTAGTCATACCATCATGATTTGTGATGTTTTCTGCTGGTTTCTGGGGGGGGGGGAATGCCCATTCAGAACAATAGATTCAAAGTTAGGTCTGCATGGCTCACTTAATGACCGCCATAAAAATGGTTATAAAATTGGATCCGGTTAAGTGGGGGGGCTTGTAGGGATGGGTTTCACTTAACTAAATTCTCCTTGTCATCAGCTATTTTGCTCTGCTTACATAGTGCAGCCAAGTTTCCTATTTTCTAGTAAAATGGGTTTTTTATCCAGTACTGGTTGAGTGATGGCATCTTTGCAATTTTCTTAATGTTCTGATGCGGAAGAAGTGTTTCACAACTTTGATTTCCCCCCCCCCCCTCCTTCAGCTTCACAACGTAGCCTCGGGGTTCTCTAACCAGGTACAATTAGGCTGAGTCTCACGACTGCAGGCAAAATCTGAGTCAGCTTAATTTCCTCTTATTACCTGCCATTTCTCCTCTGAAATTGCTCAAATATTGGATTTCTTTGCAATGGGAAAGAGTCTGTGACCGGAGGACAGAATGAATTGCAAGCAAAATGGGAGGACAGGATGAACTGAAAAGAAGGTGCAACAACGGGCACTTGAGAGGCAAGACTAGAAGTACCAGAGGTCAGAAAGACATTGCTGCTCTAATGAGGCTCGGCTGGAGAAACACATGTTAGTTTCTGCTTGGTAGGGAACATTCAGGCTGAGCAGAGAGGACGTCCTGGATCAGTGTGTCATTATCAGCCTTATTGTGGAGGAAAGAGTTAAAATCAAAGCAGTGGCAAAATCAATTTTTTTTTTATTACAGGCTCTGTGGGCGTGGTTTGGTGGGCGTGGTGTGTCTTGGTGGGCGTGGCAGGGGAAGGATACTACAAAATCCCCACTCCCTCCCCACTCCTGGGGGAAGGATATTGCAAAATCTCCATTCCTACCCCACTCTGGGGCCAGCCAGAAGTGGTATTTGCCGGTTCTCCAAACTGCTCAAAATTTCTGCTGCCGGTTCTCCAGAACCTGTCAGAACCTGCTGGATTTCACCCCTGAATCAAAGTATTGTCAAATTGAAAGGCACCCTTGAGGTCATCCATTCCAATCATCCTCCTGTTCAGAG